TGTTCTCCAGAGATGAAATAGAAGTGGGCATGTCAGAAGTGGGGGTGAATTCATCAAACTAAGGGTCCCATACCCCCTTCCTTCCTCCTCTCCTGAGACTGCCATGGTGACCTCATGATAGGGATATTCAGGCTTGCCACTTTCTCTGTTTGGCCACAGAGCTGGGCTAGAGCAGGCCACTCCCTCCAAGAGTCATGGAATCTTGTGGAACTGCAGGTTCTGCATTATTTCAAGGTGAGCCCCATTCCACACTCTGACCTGCCATTGGCCCTCATATTTCCAAGGAGACAGGAAAGCTCTGGCAAGAAGGGCCTGGGCCTGAAGTTCAGAGCCACACAGAAATGGCCCTGAGGCCTGAAATGTGAAGCTGGCTCAGGACTCAGAAGGCCTGAGTTCTGGAGAGTCAAGGGGTTGCGGGGGGGCACTCTTGATTCTCAGCCCAGGCCTGGCTTGGGTCTAGGAGGACAGACTCAGAAATATCAGAGTCTGGGCCCCTTAAACCCATCAAAACTACCCTACTCATTTACTGAAGGGGAAACAGGCCTGGGGAGAGAAAGTGATGTACCCAAGGTCCCACAGTAGGCTAGTGATAGAACCGGGCTGGAATCCCAGTGTCCATAGTCCCTCAAGCAGCAGGATGGTGGAGAGCTGGGTGCCTTGTAGAGCCTGACTTCTCAGCACAAATCAGTTCAGTCTCTGAAGGTTTGGAGCCCCCCCTTGGTGGCCCAGGAAACATTTTCTCAGACATTTGCAGTGAGAAACTCAGGACCTCCTCGTTCTGACCCTCCAGCCCTCCTCTGGCCTGGACAGAACCACTCTTCAGAGATTTCCCAGGAAGGGCAGGCCCTCCAGTGGCAACCATCCCTGGTTGCCTCTCCCACTCGCCATCCTAAAATTTTTCCTCTACATCCATCCTAAGCCTTGGTCACTAAAACCACATCCTCAAAAGAATATATATAAAGTACTTAGAACAGTGCCTGCCACATAGTTAGTGCTCTAGGAATTTCTGCTATTACTATCATCATCATCATCATCATCATTATTTCTGCTCACATTGGGCAGTACTGAAATCAACATCAATGACGATCCTGAAACCACAAGAGGAGGAATAGGAATTGGGAATGGATAGCTAGTCTATTTCTTCCCATGGGGACACTCCCCAGTGACCCATTCAATATATAAACCAGGGATTCTAAACTGAGGCCTGTGGGCCTCACATTCCACCTGCAAGTATTTTTCTTCGGCCCACAGAGCACTATGACATTTCTGAATTTGTTATTTGCATATAAAAATGAGATTCCTGGCTTCTCTTGAAAAAGAAACAACCCGTTGGAGAGCTGGGTTTAGACCAAGTATTTCCTCTCCACCTAGCCCAGTTCACCCGTTAACTTTCACCTTCCTGGCCCTATAGGTCATTGAGTTTATAACCCCCAATCTAAATGGCTGTCCCCCCCCACCCCCTCAACAGAACCTTGGAAGGAGTATTTTGCCACAGACAATTTATTTTCTACAACTGCAGCCTGATGGACATGTGCCCATTTCCCGGTCGATGTCACCACCAGCTACAGGGTTTGGAGATGGGCTCGGGGGCTCTCCAGCCCAAGCGGATTGCCTCCCAGAACTTGGGCAGATGGCCTAAGGAAAAGATCCCATTGCCAAACAAGGGGAGCTCAGGCAGCTTCATCCCCGGCCTCTGCGGCAGCTCAGGCATGAGTCTCCGGCTTTGAAGCTGGCGTGAGTAACTGGCATTGGCAGACTCATCCACACATTGCAGGGTGTTGACACCCCTGGTGGACGGCACCATGCACGTGTTGGCGGAGTTGTCAAAGGCAGCCATGCTGGTGCTGGGGTTGGAGTAACTGTGGGGGAACGAGTGGTCTGGGTGGTCCAGGTGGATGGAGTTGGCGGCGCGTTCCAGGTAGTTGGCGGCAAGCCTCGGCAGGCTCAGGGATGCTTTGGGGCAGTTGGTATAGAAGGCATCGGTGGATCTGTCAAGGTAGTTGATGCCTTTGATGAGTTGGTCCAGGAAGGTGGGGCTACAGCGGCCCGAGGGACGATCCGTACAGAGCAGGCAGTGGGGGCTGCTGTGACAAGTGGGCCTCCTGGACGCCTTGGGGTGGTTGGCGAGGTGCTTGGTCTCTACACACTTGGAGTTGTAGGGGCGGCCCGTGCAGATTTTCCTCACTGGGAGTCTGGGGGACCTGGGGCTGTCGGACTTCTCGGAGGGGCTCCTGCAGCTACTGAACTCCGAGCCACTTAGGGTGCGGGGGCACTTGAGCCTTTTGGCCCGGGTCACGTTGGGGCCGTGGGGCCAGCCTGGAGTCTGGGCTAAGGACACATTGTTGGCATGGTTCAAGTAGCTGGAAGTGTTGGACTGGCTCGCCAGACGTCCAGACATCATCCCTGCTGGGCAGATGAGCTTCGTGGCACTGACCTGCTGTGAGCTCACCTGGAGGCTGGCTACCTGGGCCTGGTGAAGACAGTTGGGTCAGCTCTGCTTGGCTCCATGCCCCCCTCCCTGCACGCTTTCTCCGCATGTGTTCCCTCTGCCTCCCCAGCATCACCCTTCTCCCCACTCCTCCTCCTCCTCCTCGGCCCAGGGATTTTCAAACTGGAAAACAGACATCTTATTCCTCAGAAAGCAAGAGATGGGGATGAAGGCAAGACCCCGAGAACAACCAAGGCCAGAGGACCGTTAGGGAAAAGTGAGGCAGTCTCCTTGTTCCTTTAGCTCTCGCCCATATTCTGAAATTCCCATTTGCCTTTTAAGCAAGGACTCCAGAAGACCACAAAAGCCAAGGACTGAATCTCTAATGGGGAAATTCCAAGCCCTGAGAGAGAGACCTTCTTTCCAGGTAATATTAAATAGCTAATCATCAACAACACAATGCACCTGATACTAAAAAATTGTATCCGGGAAGTGATGTAATACTGTATGTACTCTCTCCTTGCCTGGCCCTTTGGTTGTGTCTTGCATATAATTGTTACTATGAATCAAGGAGGTGGGCATTATTCTATTCCCGGTTGATAGATGGGGAAACTCAGTCTCAGAGAGATTACGTGACTTGCCTCACATTCCAAGCTTGTAAGTGGTGGGGCTGAGGTAGTATCTTGGGTGTGTCTGATGACCTCTGAAAGACAATGCTATGTCGGGGTCACTTTGGCCCCCCTCGCAGTCTCTTAAGGAAGAGTCCTCCCCACACCTGCTCTGCCTGCTGGATGGGGGCCCTAATGGGGAGAACCAGATGGACAAGGGTGCTTGCTAAACCCCATAGTTAAGTTGATCCTGACTTTAGGAATCCCAACTGAGAGGGGCAGAGGTAGTACAACAAGTCTACCAATGGGACTGCCCTTTTAAGGTCACAGCCTTCCAGGATATCTGATCTTGATGTCTGGGGTCTCTTCATCCACTCCACAAGAGGAGGGGGCATTGGGATTCCCACTCCTTGCGGTCCGAACGTGGGCGCTTCACTGAGACTAAGGCCTGCCCAGGCCAAGAAGATGCTCAGTCCATTTAACCCCATCTCCTGTCCCAGCCAAGGGCAGTGGAGTCCTCCCGCCTTGTTTCCACTCTCCCCCGCTTCCCCAGTACTCCTCTACCCCCAACCAGAGGGCAGGCCTGATTTCTCTCCCCCAGTACTGCCAGCTGCAGCTCATTTTCCACTTCTGCCCAGTGAGAACGGAGCAGTATTTGAGCCTGTCCCACCCAGAAAACAGCTGTCGGCTCCTCTTCCAGCCCACGGCCCTCAGCTGCCCTTGTCCTTTGGGTCTGAACCGAGTGGAATGTACAGACCCTTGACTCTTTCCTTCCAGGTCCAACCCCACCCTGTCTCCTCCTCCGGAAATGCAGGAGGTGACTGAGGGCTGACCCCCCCAGTGCCCCACCCTTCCCTTCCTGGCTGGCTGGGCCCATCTGCCATCAGGGCCCTCTCCCACGCTCACTCTGCCTTTAGGAGGTAGATGACTTAGCCCTCCTGTTGCTCTCCACGGGGGGTAACTTCATGCCGCCACTCCAGACTGCTGGCCATGTCATAGAATCATGGAATCCTAGAGCTGGGAGGGGCCTCCAGAGGTCATCCTGGCCAGGCCCCTGCCTCCAGGCCCGCGCCACACTAAGCCCTCCAGGACAGATGGGCCCTATTTTTACAACGAGACTGGGGTGGATGTTTTCCAGTGTTCCTTGTTGTTTTTCTGGTGTTTAATTATGCGGAGAGTCAGGAAGTTCTATACTGGTCCTGATCTAGCTTCCATTGGCCATGGTCAACATCAGTCACTTCTCTTTTCTCACTGGCTCAGCAAACACATATTGAGTCTCCCCAGAGTGCTGTCGCTTCGAGTAACCCATTCTTGAGCATAACTGCGTGGTCTCTCCTTCCTCGCCGAGGTCGGTGACCCGGCGTAGAGTATCTCCTACACGGTGGGCTCTGGCCGGAGCCTGAGGACTCTTCAGCCAGCAAATCTCAGAAGCTCCATGCCCTCTACCCAGCCCTGGTCCCTAGGGGGCACTCAGGACATATTTGCCAAGAAAAGCCTCCCTCTGTCATGTCCTTCTCTCAGATATTAAAAATACAGTTTTACTTTTTATTTTGAAAAACTTTCAAACTTCCTGAAAACTTACAAGACAATGAACTCCCATGTAGCCCTCATCCAAATCCACAAATTATTAATGCTCTTGCCATGTTTATCACTACACACATACACACACACACACACACACACACACACATTATTATTTTTTGATAGGAAGTTACAGACAACAGCATCTTTTAGCCCTGAACACTTGGGGCTCTATCTCCTGCATACCGAACGAACAGAGACATCTTCTTGTTTCTTTTTTTTTTCCTTCAAGTTTTAGATATTTCTTAATCCGTGTAAACCCCAACACGATGCACCAACATGATTTCATGCATTTAGAGGGGAAATATTTCCTGGATGAGCGGAAAGTTGTGCGGATGGGTTCTGGAAGACCTTCATTCTAAGGAGCTTTTTAGTGAAATATTTCATTTAGAAGCCTGGACCTTCTTTCGTTTGCTGTAATCTACATTCACTGAGTAGAACTTGTACTGATCACAGGAACCCCGTTCGTTCCAGGGTTCTGGCTTATGCTTCCTACCCCAACTGACATCTGGATCGAACAATACCAAGCACAAGACATACAGCACTGCTCCCGTACCCTCTTCTCCAATAAAAATGAAGAGGAGGATGGAGCTCAGATGCTTTGTGGCCTGACCCAGGATCTGGCAGAACATGACTGGGTCCAGGAGAAGCAGATCACATCTGTGAGGCCCAGCACGAAATAGTCCTCACACCGAGGACGAAGGGACATCCCGGACATCTCACACCTCCACACTACAATGACCAAATACAGGACATCGGGCCGTGGGAGAGTACGATCATCTGCTATACGGTCCACATCCACATTTTGCTGATTGCCCCTCTGACGTTCTTCATGGCAACTCTTCTTCCCATGCAAGATCCAAGCCAGGAGCACGCGTGGCCTTCATTCTCAGGTGTCTTTGGTTTCCTTCAACCTGGAGCAGTTCTTCAGCCCTTTTTTGTCTTCCGTGACCTGGACGTGTTTGAAGAGCATGGGCACATCATTCTGGAGAGGGTTCTCCAGTCTGGGTTTAATCCAATGTTTCTGAATGACCAGACCCAGGATCATCAAGTGCTGTAACATGGAAACCTCTGTGTGGGCTGTCCCCAGCCCACAGCCAGTGAGCCTTTTGGCCCTGGGGTGGGGTGGTTATTGTTGCTGAAACAGGGAGCCAAGAGGAGACATCAGAGGGCCCCCAAGAAGGAGGAAGAAAGGTGTGGGGGAACTCAGTGGACCAAGGAAGTGGTGTTAAGAGTTCCGTTATGGGGCCTCAGCCTGGCCTGGATCTGCTCTGGGCTGGGGGCCAGGCAGGCAGCCAGCAAGAGGGCTGGGCCTCTGTCCCATTTGTCCTGAAGGTACCCAGGCATCAGGATCACTGGCCATTTCTGGCCTGGGCACTAAGAGCCTCTGGAAATAACTCCAGGACAATTATTTTAGGAGGAATGTGCTATTCTTCCATCTTCCCAGAAAGCCAGGCTGCGTCCCAGATCAGGAATGTCCCTCTCTGGCCTCCCTAACTCCAGGGGATCTCTAAGTACTCTGGGGGCTGCAGAAGTCTTTAGGGCCAGAAGTGGGGTCAAGGAGACTGAAAGCCCTTTCCCTGGGCGGGGAGGGGAGGTTCTGTCCTTAGATCCTGGGCTTTCAGGGTCCAGTCTTGAGTCAGGCCAGCTGGTTAGGGTCCAGCTGACTCCAAGCATGAGGACACATGAGGAGGAGGGTATGGGGAAGCTGCCTGCCCTACCTCTTGCCCAGCCCCAGCCCCAGCCCCAAGAGACTGACATGGGTGGAGCACCTGCTAGGCACCAGGACCTTCCACCCTCTCATTTAATCCTCACAGCACCCCTGAGAGGTAGGTATTTGGTTTTCCCGATGAGGTAATTGAAACACAGAAAGGGCAAGAGACTTACCCAAGCTCACCCGGCAATCAGAATTAGAACCTGGTGTTCTGGCTCTATCCAGAGGGGGCCACTCCTCTCACTCGGTGAGGACACAGTAGGCGACCCTGGGAACTGGGCGGAGTTGGGAGGGGTCCAACATGGAGACACAGGCTGGTGGGCAGCTGAAGCCCTGTCCCCCACCAAACCCCATCATCCACCACTCAGCAAGCCCGGCTGCCTCTTCCCTCCCTAGCACTGCAGGGATGAATGTCAGGGTCTCAGAATGTCCTGGGTGGGTGCCCTGCACAGTCCCCAGCCACTGCAGCGCCCCCCCTTGCCCCACCGGGTCCAGCTCCAACCTTGGCTCCTTAGCTCCATTACCAAACCAGCTGGGCTTTCCATCATCCCTTGCCCCTCCCCCCCCCCCCCCCCGGGTCCAGCTCCAACCTTGGCTCCTTAGCTCCATTACCAAACCAGCTGGGCTTTCCATCATCCCTTGCCCCCCCCCCCCCCCCCCCCCCCCCATCTCCCACCTCAGCAGTTCTAGCTTTGCCCTCTTGGCTCCCACTACATCCATCAGGGGCCCTTTCTCTAGCCCAGGTATGAGGAGTTTGAGGGCATCTCATTCCTCTGGGCTATCCCAGAATGGGGGGAATAGCCACCTTCTCCAGAGACCTGAGGACCCCGCCCCATTAGCACATATGCTGCTTATTAACCACCCCCCACTCCCCCCCTTCCTCCGCATCTGCCACTCAGCAGTTACCCTTCTCCTCTGGGGCCTGAGGTGGTGGGACAGGTGTTCCCATGTCCTTTCAGTCACATGGCTCCTGGAAGCATCAAAGATAAGGAGCAAGCGGAGCTTGGCAGCCCCGAGTGTGAGCTCAGCAGCTGCAGGCTTGAGACCCCCACGTTAGTCCAGGGGACAGCAGGAGCCAAGAGCCATGAAACTCTCCTGGCTGTCCCAACCTGCCTGGAGGACGTCTGTGCCCAGCCTCAGGCCACTATTAGCAGTGTGACTCACCTGAGCCTTTACCTGCCAGCTTGCTTGCAGGGCTGAAAAATGTTTACTGGGCTGGGTCCTGGCCCTCCCATTAGCTACAGCCTTTCACCCACCCAAGCACAGTGAGTCACACACCCCCATCCCCCAGCAAACTCAAGGATAGAGGCCCTCTGCTCACCAGCTGCCAAAACAGCCTTCCCCAAACCCACATGTGGCAGGTACAAGCCGGGACGGATTTGAGCTCAGAAGCACTGGGGCAGGTGTGGCTTCACAGGAACCCCAGCCAACAAGAATGTCCCTCCTGCCAAGCCACCTTAGGGATTTGGGGGTAGAGCAGCCAAGGTGGGAGAGGGCAGGGCTCCTGTCTTCATGGGGCCTGGGAAATTTCCTCTAAGGGAGGTGGGGACCATGGCCATATGTAGGTTTATCGACCACCCTGCTGGGAGAAGACGTAGGAAGTAGGACGGCAAGTAACTGGCTCAGCTGTGACCTTGGGTAAGTGCTTGAACTTCTCCAAACCTCCATCTGCTGTTCTGTAAAAGGGGCAGGGAGGGTTCTCAGTGGACCTTGTAGACTGACTGGCTTGCAGGACGAGCTAATGTTTGTGAAATGCCCTCGTGCGCTGCAGGCTCGGGGGAGCCGCAGGGGCGTGCCGGGGTCAGCTCGGACTGGCTCACAGAGCCGATTTGTTAAATATTCCAGAATTTGGGGAATGGGTTGTTAAATTGCTGGTAGCTTGAAATCAGCCATGGTGGTTGATTACAAGCTACCAGGGAATTGGCAAAGCAACACATCAGGTGTGTTTCTTTGTGTGTGTTTCTTTTCTGAGCCCCAGCTCACCAGCCTACCATTGCAGCTGTGTGAAACTTCTGCTTCCTTATCCATAAAACCATAATAATAATAATGGCCCATATGTGTCTAGTGCGTACTGTGTCCCAGCTGCTGTGTGTAACTTTCTGTGTCAGCTTGGCTGGGGCACCTGGATGGGTGTGCCTACATGGCTGGTAAAACCTTATTGCTGGGTGGGTCTGTGAAGGTGTTTCTGGAAGGCAGACCCCAGTGTGGGTCAGCATTATCCAATTTGTTGAAGGCCAAAAGAGAACAGAAAAGGTTGCATTTGTTCTCTGCCTGCCTGAGTTGGGCTAGCAATCCATCAGTCCTGGTTCTTAGACCTTCAGACCTGGCTTGGCATCCACACGATTGGTTGTCTGGTTCTCAGTCCTTTGAACCACACCACCTGCTTTCCTGGGTCTTAACCTCCGTAATTGCATGAGCCAATACTAATAATAAATTTCTTCACATATATATTTATATACCTATAGACTAAAAGTTTGTGTCCCTCCAAAATTCGTATGTTGAAACCTAACCCCCCATGGGGTGGCGCTTGGAGGTGGGGTCTTTGGGAGGTGAGTAGATCATGAGAGTGGAGCCCTCATGGAGTTAGTGCCCCAGAGAGCATCCTCACCCCTTCCGTCACGTGAGGACACAGCAAGAAAATGCTTCTGTGCCCCAGGAAGCAAGCTCTTACCAGACACCAAGGCTGCCAACACCTTGATCTCAGACTCCCAGCCTTCAGCACTGTGAGAAATAAATGGTTGTTACTTTAAGCCTCCCAGTCTGTGGTGTTTTGGCGTTATAACCCGAACATAGGCTAAGACATCTCTGTATTTCTTCTTACTGGTTCTGTTTCTCTGGGGAAGCTGGCTACGATACTGTGCTAAGTGCTTTACACACATTCACTCATTTATCACTCATTCCAACCTTACGAGGTAGATAGGACTAGCACCCCCATTTTTCAGATGAGAAGCTGAAGGGCAGAGGTGAAGTGACTCACCTGAAGGAACACAGGCGAGGTTCTGAACCCAAGCAATCTGGCTCCCATCTGCCTGCCAACTGCAATACCTACTGCCACAGGGGCCATCATTGCTTTGTCCTTGATGAAGCATTCACCGAGTGGAGACACCGTGCTGAGCATTCTCCACGGGTAACAGGTACACCCCCAAGCCCTCCAGCTTTCTGGGATACCTTTTCCTGTAGTAGTCAAATAAGACAGCTCAAACCTCCATTCTGTGTGCCGTGCGAAGTTTGGAGCCTTTCCCACTTTTTCTGAGGGAACCCGGGAGGCTGTTGCGGTCTCTCGTCACCCCTCACTCTGGGTCCAATTCTCAGACCCCCCCCTTGCTCCCCCGCCATCTCTGGCTGTCACCTTTTCTCAGGGGCACCCCCCCCCGCCCCGCCTGGCCACCATGACCACTATTCCCTCCTTATCCGTTCCCCCAGCCACCACAGACATGCAGCGACTGTGTGTGACAGACTTTCCTAAAGGCACAGGGTGACAGAAGGGTGACAACCCAGCATGGGACGAAAGGCAGCCCACGTGGAATAAATGGTGATGACTCAGTTCACGTCTCTTGGCCTCCTCTCTGCTCAGGCTCGGGCTTCCCGCCATGAAGCTGGTGGGAAACCCTGCTCTGGCTCCCCTCCTCCCCTCCCCCCATTCTGGAGCACGCCCCCCTCCGACAGCTCCTCCCCCCCCTCAGGCTGCTGATGGCAGGGGTGACATTTCCGGCTCTTGGCTGTACCCCACAAAGCTGCTCCCTTGATTCTCAGCTGGGGTCGGGGGAGGCCACCTTCCATATGAAGGGGTTTTCCTCCTCCTGCCCCCACTGGGATGTGGAAGCAGCTGCTGACAATTTCTTGCTTCCTGTAACTCTGCTTAGATGACTTAGATCCTTTCAATTCCAGAGTGAGGCAAAAACCTTGTGTTCCCAGAGA